TACCTAAAGAAAAACAAGCAACGAAAAACAAGAACTATTAACAAAAGAAACAAAGAGAAACACTAAAATCAAAATGAATAGGCGCACAATTAAAGTCCTAAACCCTCCCCGGCAACGGTGCCAATTTTGTTGTCAGAATTTTTATTCGTTCCCCGGGTCGTATCGCATGAAAGGTTAGTCGGATTCAATTGTACGATTATTCAATCACGAAAAAGAGAAAACGAAAGTCCTAAGCACTCTAATTCAATATTTTTCAGGTTTCAATTATCAACTATGGATTTAAACTAATGCAAAGCAAATTAAATGGCAAGATGAATTTACTCAATAATTAAAGAGCTAGAGAATCGGGGATAATTGCTTTTGGTTCTAACATAACTACCGGCAATCAATTGCTCGGTTAAAGGACTTGAATTGTTTCTCGTCCAGAGGCTCACTCTCAATAACTCTTTGTAACAAGAGAGTGAACGTACACGATCAACTATCAATTCCAACAACTCATAGACAATACTTTTACGAACAAGTCTATCCTAAACGAGCCTAAATCGACAAACGTCTCCCTTCTCGATTCTACACGTTTATTGATTAGGTTAGAAAAGTGATCAATCTACTAACCCTAGAATAAGTACAACTCGAATAGGTATGAACAATCAAGAACAAGCAATAATTATCGAACCTAATCAATCATCCCATATCCCTAGCGTATGGATTTAGCTACTCATATGGAATTCAACATCACAAATTTCAATAACCCAAATCATCATCATCAATAGAGAAATTGAGAAAAGGAACTTACGATTAATATAAAATCCCAATGTTAAATCCAAAAGCATCCAAATCCAAAGCAAGAAATAGGAGTTTTCAATCTCCAAGAACAAACCCAAAGTGCAAAGTAATGAAAAGGAATGAGTTTCTAGAGAGAAAAAACGTAAAAACGAAGTTTGAAAGTCGAATAATGATCCCTAGGTTAAAATTCTGAAGTAAAAATCTCGTCTTCAAAATTCGTGCCGAGTAAGTCGCGAGTCGCAACTTCCACTTTTCCCAGGCCGCGAGTCGCGCGTCTTCAAATATCTTCATTTTTTGGGGAAAATCGTGACCTGTCTCACGAGTCGCGACTCCATCTCGCGAGTCGCGACCTTGACTCGCGAGTCCCGACTCGTACTCGCGAACTTTATCTTTAGCCTCTGTTGAACTCGCGAGTCGTGACATTCTCGCGAGTCGCGACCATCTCGCGTGTCGCGACTCCACTCGCGAGTCGCGAGAAATTCTGGGCACACCTCCAGTTCATTTTTTCGGTCCTTCTTTCAGCTTTCTGAGCTCCACAACGGGTATTCTTGGTCTCAGCTCAAGAATTCTTATCCTCGACCGGCACAACCTACCTCCTGAAATCACAAACACCGAAAATCACGAAGCAAAACACAGCAAAAAGATGCACAAAATGAAACTAAAGAGAAAAACACAAAACCACAGAATAGGACGATATAAGCTACAAAAATACTGCAGGTGGGGAAAAATAAAGAGAAAATAAATCCAAAATAAAGACACAAAAATTGGACAAACAATTACAAGCCGAATGGCATGTGTATTTGGTCTAAGCAGGATGGACACAAGAAAATGAACTGTCCTATCCTTAAGACAAGAAAGGTAAATCTTATTCACTGGGAAGTCGACACATTCTAAGTGGTGTTATCTATCAGTGCCTGGTATATATATACGTAACCGCTAATTATGTAAAAAGGTTCCAGGAACCAATCGACATGTGATAGTTAGATTACCATCTAGAATGGGCTAGCTACGGAAGTGGCATCTATTGCAGTGAGAGTTATCTATTAAATAGAATTTCTGGTTTTTGAGTAATTGTCTTTTCGTACCAAGTTTTAGAAAGAACTCGTGTTCAGTTTCTAAATTGTGTATGGGTAAAAACGAGATGTTTTATCCATTTGATACGTGGGTATACAATTTGTAAACTCAAGGAGCCAAAATAAGAAGAAAGGTCCTTCAATAAATGAATCATTACATTACTTGGCATCTAGTGTTTGAGATTTTAGAGTTAGTAGAATTCAAAGGTGGACAGCCATTGAACTAATAGGTTCTTTGGGAATGGATGAAACTATCAAACCTACGAATTGTGCTTGGTATCCAAAATTACATAAATGTCCTTTTGAATGTCGAGGGATTTAGAAGCCAAATAAATGTTAAAATTGGTTTATCCGATTTGTAAAGTTCTATGATTTTAGGACAAAATGTAGTTTTGAATATTTTTCTTCGAAGAAATTTGCTCAAAATAGGGTACATTAAGTGACATTCCATAAGTTTGAGTACATCGAAAGAGTGCAATGGCAGTTATGGAAAGATGTCGAGTTTAATGTATTAGTGGCATTACGATTGAAATCGTAGTGACTAATACCTTTTGGAAAATCATAGAAATACTTATTTGGTATTGAGATTCAATCTCAACATGTTGCACTTGGTTCATCGGAACAGAACGGTATAACAAGAATGAAGGAAAATGTCTCTCAGGAAGATTGGTTATGTCAATGATGAGTTATTAGGAATTTCACTTTTTCGTATTGGAGTTGTACAAATAGCAGGTCAAGTTCTGAGCATAATCCTATCTAAGCTCTGTACTCATTACTCTGAATGAATTGTTGGCAAGGATTAGGCCTTGTCAGGAACATATTCGGATTCAGAGCATTTCAGCACACGTGCTGGAATGTTGATACTAATATGATTGAAAAGGATGTTCAGAAATTATGCTATTTGTGGGATACTTCATGGTAACGAGAAATGAGTGGATTATTCAGAATATGTTCGTTAGCGCGAATGTCTGATTTTTAGAGGAATACAAAGTAATAAACCACAAAGCTCATTTGTAGAATTGCTTTAAGGAAAGATAAAGGTAAAAATTCAACTTTGTTACCAAGTGTACAAATGTGATACCACAATAAAACTGCAACACGTATTTTGTGTTATACACCTTTGCAGAGGGAACCTCGTTGTAGTGGGAGGGTTGCAAGGCAACTTCATTCGTGATAAAAAGAGAGTCGTTGGACTCAGTCTGTATTAATCACGAGCTCATGGAATTCATGTTTTGAGAAAGTCTCGGACTTAGTCTCTAGTAAACTTGAATCGATCCCTAGTTATACAATAAGGAGATCCAAGACAAGGATGCAGAAACTTAGCAAAGTTTTAATGATTTTTGATTTAGGTTCATCGACTCTAATCAGATCTGGGTTCTTATAGAATTACCAAGTAGCATACATGCTATTGGACGAAATCTGTAAGTGAAGACTTTTGTACAAGGCTTGTTGTGAAATAGTAGACTCAGAAAGAATGAGATCTATGATGAGTTAGAATTTTCACCAGTAGCCGTGTTTAAGTCTGTACAAAAGAAAGTCTTGTTGTGAAATGGTAAACTCAGAAAGAATGGAATCTATTATGAGTTAATTATTTCACCGGTAGCTGAATTTAAAGCTGAGGCCATTCATATGAATTATGAGTTAGGCAAAGTGGATGTCAAGACATTTTCCTTAACCGGGAGTCTTGTAGGAATATCCACGGTGCAGCACCCAGAAGTTTTCATTGAAAAGGGCTAATGAGCATCTAGTTAGTAGGCTGACACAGTCCATTTATGGACTGTAGTAGTGGGCCGATCATTTGGTCGATAAGGTTTGAATCATAGATTTGATCATTAACCAAATGAGCATTGTGTGTGGCGCATTGGAAGCGTGGTGGAATTTTTGTACTATGCGTAGACAATATTTTGATCACTGGAGACAGTGTGAAGATGTTGACAGGCGTAAGGGTATGGTTATCCAAGTAGTTGGATATGAAAGATTTGGAATCAACAAATATTCTTCCGATTGAGGATCACAAGAAAGAAATGTTGCGATTATCCCGAATTTTATGACCAGACTGTCAGAAGGCTCATTTTATTTTTGCATAATACAGAGGCAGTCTTTATGCATGGCAAGCGGAAGCCTAGTACATGCAATAGATGAGGCCTGATATTTATTGCATGGTTAGTAAATATCGAAGTAATCCTAGATGGGAGCAATGGTTCATGGTAGAACATAAGATCAAACGCCGTAAAAGGGCTAAGGATAATATGTAGGGTTGCCAGACGGACCATATGCAACTTTTGGATTACAAAGGATTCTAATTTCTAATCAGACATGAACAACAAGTAAAAACCACCTTATGGTTTGTATTCACTTATGGGAGCCAAGCAGATTAGAGGAATGTCAAGCGGTGATGCGTTGACGGATTCCATTATGAACTCAGTACGTCCCTTCTCAAATGGCGAGCGACGTAGAGATTGAATTCGCCATTGGACTAAAAATGTAAAACCTTGCCTGGCCAAGACAGGTCACAATTTGATTGTGATGACAGTTGGTGCAGTTACAAACAAAGAGGAATCACTAGTTCATAAAGCAAGTGGAATATAGAGCAAGTACGCCCGTTGTAAAGGACTGCGACAGGGTGGATGTTTGTCGCCTAGTTACAACAGTAGACAACCAGGTGAATTCTTTTAGGATTGGCTTTCCCGCGAAAGCGGATGATGGCCATGTTAAAGGATCGGGAGTCGGATGTATGGAAGAAACGACACAGTTCTTTGAGAATTAAGAATGAAAGAGAATCGTGGTTAGCAATAGTCGTGACCTTATTAAGCATAAGTAGGAGATTGTTAGAGGTATGTTGTAAAAGCTCAAATTTGTAGATTCTAGCAATTCTATTTTGATATGGCCATCATGTTTCGGTCAAAGTACATATGCTTGCAGTTTATTTATTTATGCAATCATACTCTTTGTCTTACATTGAGATAGTGTGGTTCGAAGTGTTTTGAATAGAAAGATCACATATCGGTTCTTTGTAAGACTAAACTATTCGTTCACAGTCTAGACAGGCACTGAGAACCCTCTTGGAAAAAGACTGTAGTGTATTCTTGATTCAGTTGGTCTTTGACTGGAGAATTACACTAGTACTTATGTTAAGTATTGAACAGGGCCACAGAAGGATAAGATTATGAGACTCACTTATCGTTGTTGTAATCTAGACCTTCAACAATTGATGCATATTCTTAAGCTTTAAGATAATATAAAACGGGCATATGTATTCATTACTTATTTATTTGATTTATCAAGGGTGATTCCTATTATATTACGATGACATACTCGGAATTTTGATAAGTAAGTGTGTTTATATGATGTGTCGTTATAAATTATTTACGGTCATTGTGTCCCAGTACGCTGGGTTGATGACGTCCCCGAAATGAGCTCAGGATTGAATACTATGTCAAGCCCTGCAGGCGGATGTTTTATCCGGCATAATGGTTAAGGATCTGAGTGGTACTAGTTTCAGAAATTAATAAGAAGTTGATTAATTATTTTGTCAGTAATTTAATTAATCAACAGACATTATATCTTAAACATGGGGAGATAAATCGGTCACTTAGATTAATATATTTAATCAGTGGAGATGAGTTAATTGTAATTCAGAGCTAAATTGGGAGAGCAATAATATTATTCTAGTGGAATGTTTTATTATTTAATTCTAAATTAGGAATTAGGAATTAATTATATTCCATATTTCCCTTAGGATGGAAATATTCCTTCTAGAATATTACCTAGGCATAGGAGACTATGGAGTCTTCTCGAAAGTAATTAAATATTAGGAATATTATCCTAAATGGGAAAAGGAGATGGAAGATAATAAGGATTCCTAATCCTAAAGGAATAAGCCCATATTTAGCATCTCCTTTATGTCCCTATTGTAGCCTATAAATACACTAGGTCCCCTAACCCCTTGATGTATGTCACACGTTTTTCTTCTCCCCGAAGGGCTGGAAAAATTCGGCCTCTTCAAGCGAGAAAGAAAGAGAGAGATTATTCTTCAAGAGAAAATTCGGTTAACAACGTAAGGTCTTAGAAGAAGATGATCGAGAGGTTTTGGGAAATCTAATAAATCGCTCCACCAAGATTTATTAAAGATCGTGTAAAGGTCATACAATAGAAGTTTCGAAGGTTGTTATTCGTATCCCTTCGAATATATACATATGTTCAACTCGCCGAAATTTTTCCCAGATTTCTGTCCAATCTCCACATCATGTACGCTCCCATGGTTCGCGTACAAGCCCTGAAATTTTTCATCTCGCGCCCAGGTCCAACAGGTAACCAGCGAGGCATCCTTTTGTGCGGCCCAGCGTGAAAAGTCGCGTATAGTCTCGCAGATGGGGAGTCCAGCAGACGCGCAACCCAATCTCGCGAAGCCCACTTCGCGTTGTAGCCCAGCAGTGAAGAAGAAAAGCACGCAGGCTGTGCGGCCCGCATTTCAGCCCGCGCATCTAACAAGATGTTGCCCGTGAGAGCCCGCGTGTAAGACCGCACCTGAGCCCGCGCTACCTCACAGATGCAGCCCACGAAAAGCCCGAGAACGGCCCGCGTGCTGGCCCAGCTTCTTAGCTCACTCCAGCGCGTCCCAAATTGAGTTGTGTGCGGCCCAATCCATTCCAGCGGACGTCCAAGCGGCCCAACGCGTCCAAATGAGCCCAGATCACGGCCAGCATCCTTCAGCTCAGACCAGTCGGTCCAGATACACTGCAGTCCGGTCCAGTGTGCTCCAAACCAGACCAGCTTGGTCCAGAAGCTCCGGTTCATGTCCAAGATAGTTCCCGAGCAGTTCGAGAACTCCGACTTACCTATCGAAGGTCCGAGACGATCCGATGAGCTTGGTGAGCAATCGGAGAACCTTGACAACTCGATTAGAATTGAGAAAGGCCAAGTCTAGCTGCCTATTAGACTTTGGTGTTCAGACGATCTCCATCAACGGAAATCAGAAACGTCTTAGAGTCGGCAAAAGTTTTAAACTGTAAGTCCTAATCCTAACTATACATTCCGCTGCGTTAGGATTTATTATTCAATAGATTTGAGTGAGCACATTGACGACGTTCCTAATAGAACCCAACAGTGATGTGGACACATGGCATGACCTTATTGGTCTTTGTCCCATAATTGTCTCTAGCACACCTCCAGTGTGTGTTGTACGATCAGATAATTCGGGCAGCTTGGGATAGCCAGCTCAGCTCATCCGGATAGCTCTGTAGAAACAGGTACCTCACCCCTATATATAGGGGTAAGACGTGCGATTTCAGCCATTACGTTCATTATACTCTTTGAGAGTTCATCTTCTACTCATACTCATTTCTGTATCGGAGGCTCTATATCAGAGAACCCCTTCGGTGTGGGAGTTTTTCCAGATACGAGGCGTTCTATCGGCGAGGGAAACACGAGCGAGCCGTTTCCATCTTGTCGGAGTGTTCTGTGTTACCAAATAGTATATAGTAAAATTTATATCTTTTACAACTTGAATTGTTTTTTATTTATATAGATATTTCTAATGTGAAACTTATAATTCTTAGTTTTACCGACAATCAATAATAATTATAATATTATGTTAAATTTAATTTTCAATAGTATTCCTAATATAAATGATATATTAAATGGAGACATATTTTTTAGTTAACTTGACTATATATTACAAAATTTTATTAATATTATAAGTTATTCATTAAGTTTATATGATCCAAACGTAATTATTCTTGTTATTTTCTATATATTTTTATAAGTAATTTTGATCGGTGAACATAATTAATAAAATTAATATCTACAATCATATAATAATATAATTAAATAAATTAATTTTTATAATTATAATAAATATTTTTTTTTTCATTTTGTCTACAATATTATTACAAAATTAGTATTATGATCTTATTGAAAATATGTGTAATCAATCAATATTCAATTTAAGTCAATTTATAACTATGAATATTGACCATAGAGTAAGCAAAAAATAATTAATGTTCATATATAAAATTTGCTAATTATATACTAAATACAAATGAATTTTTTTCTAGTCCAAAATTATATCAATTATAGTAATAAAGATTGATCCAGTGTATAGATATAAATGTCAATTCTAGTAATAAAGATTGATCCATTATATAGATATAGATATATCTTTAACAAATATTTCTTAGAAAATTTGCTTTGATATTGCAAGTGAAAGAATGCACATGAATACCATGTCTTTGTTGAAATGTTTTAGTGTTTCGGTAATCATATAATTCAATTTAATTATTTTTGGAATTAAATATATTTTGATAGAAAGATTAGGTAATTAATGCACTATATTTAAATTATGTTAAGTCTGTCTTATTGATTGGTCGGAAAAAGTGTGTATTTTATGTATTCATCAACGTATTTTTATATGCTTAATTTTATTGCATTTATATATTTTGACTTATTTATTTATTAGATAAATTTAAGTACTATGATATATTTATGCTTTATTTCAGGATGTTGGAACATTTTTATTGGTGGTATGGAACCGAATGAAAATTGAGAAGGCTAGTACAGGGAGCCTTATACTAACCCACTTTAGGCCCATATTTACTAATCATGAAGTTAAAGGCCCAACTAAAGAATTAAGCCATCAACTTGATGTGGGAATTGGACTTTCACGCAACAGTCCATACACGTGCTTGATGGAATTATTTGCAAGCAGCAATTTAGACTATTCTTATCCCAAACCCAATCCAACCCAATCCAACTCAATCCAACCCAACTCAACCTAACAATTAGAAATTATTTTTCTCTCCACCACTTACACAACTCAACCTTACAAGTAAATTTATCTTTATCCTCAACTCAACTCAACCAAAATATTTATTTTATTTTAGTTTATCTAAAAATGTAATTATGTTCCAAAACATCTCAAGTGTGGTCTCTATTTGTAGATAATGAAAAAATATAAATTTTAGTATTTATTTTATATTTTTATTTTAAATAAAAAATTTACTTTTAGCCAATTTAAAGGGGACAAGTATCCTATTTTAACAACCAACCGATTGTAATCTTGGGTCACAATGTGACCCCGGTTGAACAACCATGATCTTTCTCTTATTATTAGGATTTGTCTTGGAAATTATTTGGAAAGAACATAATATATATATTTAACGCATCCTGGGAGAATTAAGGGAGGATACGAAGGGCTCTGGAATTATTTTGGGGAGCCGCCAGACAACCACGCGAACAAAGAACAGAGGCACGGACAAAGGAAAAAGACGGGAACCCGATCAAGTGGAGGGAGACCGCACCGACACACGGGGAGGATAACTATATTCTTCTCCTTTTCTTTTTATTATTATGTTAGGATAGTTTTATTTCTAGTTTCGGGGAAGTTGAACCCTACGACATAACGATGTTTGATTAATTTACGTGGTTGATTATTAAGTTATCTTTTTGAAATTGTTTGTGTTGTTTTGAATAATTAACCGTGATGTGTTGAGTCTTATTTAGATTGATCACCTAGATTAGGTTTTTATATCTACAGCTGAATTAGACCTTTAATCCGTAATTGTTGTTGTGTTTAATTCATAAGAGTTCTGTTTGTCCCATTTTTGTGTCTTTATTTTGGGTTTAGTTTCCTTTTATTTTCTCTATTTATAGGATTTTCGTGGCTTATTTGGTCCAATTCTGTGTTTTTCCGTTTTTCTCTTTAGTTTCGTTTAGTGTGTCTTTTTGCTGTGTTTTGCTTCGTGTTTTTTTTTTCTTGTTTGTGTTTTCAGGAGGTAGGTTGTGTCGGTCGCGGAAGAGACTGCTAGAGCTGAGACCGGGAAATCAAGAATACCCATTGTCGTGCCCAGGCCGCTGAAGGAAGGACCGAAAAAACAGACTGAAGAGCTGCCCAGGACTTCTCGCGACTCGCGAGTCAGTGTCGCGACTCGCGAGAATGTCAAGACTCGCGAGTCCAACAGAGACGAAAAGGAGCTGTTCGCGAGGAGAGTCACGACTCGCGAGTCAATGTCGCGACTCGCGAGATTGAGTCGCGACTCGCGAGCTAGATCGCGACATTCCCCAGAAAATAAAGATTTTTGAAGACGCGCGACTCGCGAGATGTCGCGACTTAAGTCGCGAGTCGCGACTTGATCGGCGCAATTTTCGAGGACGGGATTTTAAGTTCAGAATTTCGGCCTAGACATGATGATTGACATTCCAGACTTCATTTTTACACTTTTTCTCTCTAGAAACTCATTCCTTTTGATGTTCTACTCTTTTGATTGGATTTTGGAGATCAAAACTCTACTTTCCTTGCTTTGGATTGGATGTTTTTGGATCCAACATTGAACTATCATTATTAATAGTAAGTTTTCTTTTCTCAATTGTGTGATTGATGATGATGGCTTGGGTTTGTATGAATGTTGATGTTGAATTCCATATGAGTAGCTAAATCCATATGCTAGGGATAGGGGATTATTGATTAGGTTCGATTATAATTGCTTGTTCTTAATTGTTCATATCTATTCAAGTTGTTCTTATTCTAGGGTTAGTAAATTAATCACCTTTCTAACCTAATTAATCAGCGTGTAGAACCGAGAGGGGAGACGTTGGTCGATATGGGCTTGTTTAGAGTAGACTTGTTCGTAATAGTATTGTCTATGAGTTGTTGGAATTGATAGTTGATCGTGTACGTTCAATCTCTTGTTACGAAGAGTTATTGAGAGTGAGCCTCTGGATGAGAAACGATTCAAGCCCTTTAACCGAGTAATTGATTGTCGGTAGTTGTGTTAGAACCGAAAGCAATTATCCCCGATTCCCTAGCTCTTTAATCATTTGAGTAAATTCGTTTGCTATTTAAATCGCTTTTCATTTATTTTCAAGTCACTAGTTATAATTAAAACCAAAACCATTGAAATAGAGTGTTTAGGATTTTTCTTTCTCTTTATCGTGATTGAATAAACGTACGATTGAATCCGGCTAACCTTCCTTGCGATACGACCCGGGGAACGAATCTTTCGATTCTACTCCGGTAAAAATACTAACAACAAAATTGGCGCTGTTGCCGGGAAAGGTTTAGGACTTTAATTGTGCGCCTATTTGTTTATTTTTCGTGTTTCTTTTTTTTTTATTATTTGTTAGGTGTTAGTTCTTTGTTTTCTTTTGACTTCATTTTATTCTCTTCTGTCTATCATTGGTGCTCGTAACCCTTGTTGGTCTTAGTGTATGCGTATCAGGAGTGGACGCAAACTGCTATCTCTGATCAACCAATCAGTTAACGAGAGCCTGAGGGAGCTGCTGGAAGAGCTTACTCTGGAATCGCACGGAGAAGACGAACATTCTCCAAAATCATCCGAAGGCAGCAACCTAGAGATGGGTGAACAACAACAACAAGCTCCCTGTGACACCCTCCGAACCTTGGCCCAACCGGTTATCGGGCCAGTCACTTCATGCATCCGTTTGCTGGATGTTGTACGAAACTACGAGCTCAAAATGATTCACTACAATCAGTTGTCGGCATTCCACGGGCTTCCAAGCGAGGATCCACTCAACTTCATCCGGGAATTCTACAATGTTCTCAACACTTTCCCTCTCAATGACCTTACTGATGAGTAGCTGAAGCTGAGGTGCTTTCCCGAGACACTGAAGGACCGGGCCAAGGCCTGGTTCATGACAATTGCACCCGACTCTCTGACTACATAGACCGAGGTGTACTCAAAGTTCATTGGGAGGTATTATTCCCATCAGAAGACTCAGGAGCTCAGGTCACAGATCGTCTCCTTTGATCAATTACCGAATGAGTCTCTTCATGAGGCTTGGGAGCGGTTCAAGGACCTCCAACGGCAGTACCCCCATCACAACCTCTCTCCGGGGCTACTTATGAACTGCTTCTACGATTCCCTCCACCAG